AGTCTTCTCCTTGTTCCAGATGAAAGTTTAGAGGGACGGCCGGGTCTTGGTAGATTTGCAGTGGTCTGATACTCCTTCCATTTCAATATGATTGCTTGCACAGTGCTCCTTGGGATGTTTAAAGCTTGGGAAATCTTTTTGTATCCAAATCCAGCTTTAAACTTCTCCACAACAGTATCTCGGACTTGCCTGGTGTGTTCCTTGGTCTTCATGATGTTCTCTGCGCTTTGAACAGAACCCTGAGACTATCACAGAGCAGGTGCATTTATACGGAGACTTGATTACACACAGGTGGATTCTATTTATCATCATCAGTCATTTGGGACAACAATGGATCATTCATAGATCCTCACTGAACTTCTGGAGTGAGTTTGCTGCACTGAAAGTAAAGGGGCCGAATAATATTGCACGCCCCACTTTTCAGTTTTTTATTTGTTAAAAAAGTTTGACACATCCAATAAATTTCATTCCACTTCACGATTTGTTCCACTTGTTGTTGATTCTTCACAAAAAATTAAAATTTTATATCTTTATGTTTGAAGCCTGAAATGTGGCAAAATGTTGAAAAGTTCAAGGGGGCTGAATACTTTTGCAAGGCACTGTATTTTTAAATATGTTTCTCATTTTTAACTAAGATAAGATAGAACTTTATAGATCCACAGGGATCAACTAAGCAGCATAATGACATTCATTAATGTGTCTACTTATGTTTTTAATCTTCTTAACCTAAAAATATAGAGTTTGCATTTATCTCAAATCCTTGGATACAGCTGGGTGGTAACATGTCTTGTGGTCTCCTATGTATGATTTAACTCCTTTTTGTCTTTCAGTCTCCTGGACAACACACCTGAGCTGAAGAAGTGGACAGAGCGTATGTTGGAGGACCCAGCTGTTAAATCCACTTTCCACAGCGTGGATGCCCACAAGGCCTTCTTAAAGGGTTTTACTGCTGGAACCCCCAACTATGACTATGGCCTTTAAAAAACAACTCATGTTCATTTATATCTATGTCACAGATCAGGATTGTCTGTTTCTGTGTTGAACATTATCTTATGTAAGAGGTTATTTGGTATAAAAGGGGAAAAATATCAAAAATCAAAGTCAATGGGGTTTTGTAATCCATGTCTAAATTTGTCTCTTTCTTGAACTATATAAATAAATTACATGAAACTGCTCGGATTTAAACCTGAGTTTAATTTTCTAATAATAAAAGCCTGATACTTAAAATAATAAAGAGCAAAATAGAATTTATTTCGAATGCAAAAACGTTTAACATACATCAACTGTTTAAACTTGTTTTTTTCTTCACTCTTCACTTTTTGCTTGTGCCTTCGCTTAAATTTGTCCAGGTAAAATGTTCAAAGTACATAAATAACGACAGACATCCAACACTTACGTACTGTATTTTAAATATGTAATTCAGTCTTATTTATCAAGTAAACTCTTTCTTAAAGGATTTTTTAAGTAATTTTTGTTTTGTTTGTTTATTTGTTTGATAAGTGTGCATAGAGATTTTTATTTAGCATAATTTTGTCCATACTTTTTTTTTTTTTTCCTGTATAAACAGCCTGTACTTTTGGATGTTTCCATAATTTTGCTACACATTTATGGTACAACAGTGATCAAAACAATAGAAATCTGTTGCATGGGATAAAAACAGTAATTGCAGGATTCAATGCCAATTTCCCAACTGATCATATTATAGTTGGAGGAGATTTTAACTCTGCTCCCGATGAGTGGATGAATCGCTAACCATACCCACTGCTGAAGGAAACAAGAAACTTTATTCTTGAGGATTTTGTTAACTGGATGAAATTGATGTTTGAAGAACTTTACAGTTTAGTGGAGTCAAACAGTTCACCTGGCACAAACCTAATGGTCAGGTCACGTATTGATTAATGGCTGGTATCTGATGCAATCATAGATCATGTAAAAGAGACAACAATAGCGAACTGTCCTCTAAGCGATCGCTGAATTATCAATTTGAAACTGAAATGGAATTACTGGGCATAAAAGTTATTGGAAATTTAATTAACTTCTAAAAATTTAGTTTTGTGACTATTAAAGAACTAATCCTAGATATAAACCATGATAATACTATTGAAATCCTACTTGAATAGTAATACTTGAACTTTAGCATTAGAAAACATTAAATTAAATATGGACAAGGTTTAAAAATGAGAGCAGAAAGAGCTTGTCATTTTTACAGTAAATTAAATTGGAGTGAAGAAGAAAAAAATTCAAATGAATTGCAGTCCAAATTAGATGAGATGTACATAAACAAGGCCCATTAAAACCTATTACACTTTTAAATAAGGACTACAAGATCCTTAACAGTTTTGGCAACAAGATTAAAACTTTTTGTCTACTGTACTAATTAGTACTACACAATCTGGTTTTCTAAAAGGAAGATTCACCCATAACATTTGCCTGGTTCAGGGCCTTATCGAGTATTTATTTAAGTATCGTCAAAGGATGATGGATTTATCTCGTTGCTAGATCTCCATAAAGCCTTTGATTATATAAAACATGTATTTATTGTTTGCACATTGAGACATTTTGGATTTGGAAATAAGTTTTCTTGCTGTGGTGTAGTCTACATTTTTGTAGTGGGTATACTGTGCTTAGAAACCAAAGTACACTGGTTAGTACACTGTAATTGTTAATTTATATTTTTAATCCTATTGAACATGATACTATTTACGGTCACGGTGGAGAGTCTGGAAGCAAATGTTTACTTCCTTGCGGGGTGGGGGCAAAAATAACTGAAGCACTGTTTTAATTTAACAGACACTTCTTACATTTGAATATGTCAACAAAATGTGTGGCACATTCTTTATGAGTCCATCTTGGGCAGTAGTCACACTGTATCTGTGAGGAGGAAAGAAACAAAAAAAAGTAAAGAGTTAATAAGTATAATGCATTGTAAGTATAAAATTCTACATTCTGTATATTTACCATATCAATGACGCTGTCATTAGCGTCATAGTGCAGCATGTTATGTCTGGAAAATAAATAGATAATTTAGTGTCTATTATACCTTATTATTTATGTTTTCCATATTTTGGAAAGTGAAACGGACATTTTATGGAGATTCATTACATAGAGTCTAATATTTCAAGCTTTTATTTTTTGCATTTTTTGTCCGTATATTTTTCTGTAATTGTTAATATTTAGACTGGGAGAAGACCCCAGGGAAGACCTAGGACACGCTGAAGCGACTATTTGGCCTGGGAACACCTTGGAGTCCTCCCAAAAGAGCTGGAAGAGATGTCTGGACATCTCTGCTCAAGCTGCTGCCCACAAGAACTGGCTTCAGAACAAGAGGAAGATAATGGATGGATGGATGGTGTTAATATGTCTGAAGGGAATATTGTGTTTTCAAGTTGTGTGTTTTTAATGTAGTGGTTCCGAGTGGAGCTCATTAATATTATGTGTTTTACAAGGCTCACCAGTTCAGAGGTCTTACAAAAAATACTTACGACATCAGAAACAGGCTTCCAGATTTAGAAAACAATTTATTAATTTCCATTTTTATTTATAAATATTTTTAAAACACTTTTTAAATACTTTTCTTAAAAGTCTGAAAAAAGAAAGGGACAAAAACAAACAAAACCCTGGACCTGAGCTTACCTGGAAGAAGACCACCAAACCAGCACAGCCCCAGACCCCAGCAACTGGAAAAGAAAATAACAAAATTAATAAAGATCAAACACCAAAACTAAGTATAATCAAAAAGAAAACAAACAATAGAAATATAATAACTCAGTGAAATACATGAACCAACTACCAACAATAAATTCATGTCAGCCAAACTAAATATCTACATTATAGACTGTAATTCACAAAGTAAATGGGCTGTAAACAAACAAAATGAAGAAACTATTTTAAGAAATTATTTGAAACTTAAACCAAATACTCAGTTTAAAAGTTACGGTCCAGACCCAGGTGTGTGGCTAATTAACCACGCCACTGACATGAGTTCTCAGGGACCACGCCCCAAACATCGGTGTGTGGAGGATTCCAGTGACGCAGTCACAGGCGTCTGGAGACGAGTGCAGTGATCTGGAGAAACCAGACAGTTGTAGTCCTCTGTAGAGACAAAACAGACGTGAGAGTCAGTCAACTGATCACTATCAAAAGGTATTAAACTTGAAGCTGACAATGTGAGTCGGGACTCAGCTACTCACCTGCTGACACACACATGCAGACTCACACACACACACACACACTGGAAGGAAGAGGAGGAAAGCATCAATCTTGGCGTTCACCTGCAATCAAACCAGAAAGATCAACTGTAGTGCACCAAGAGAGGACACCTACCCCACCCCACGAAGGCCAGAACAGCACGCATAACACGATCTGCCGCTCAGCCAAAATCAAATCCCACAAAGGCTGTGAGACACGTAGTGGGAACGTGAAGAAGAAACCAAGTGCCAGAACAAGCACTGCTGCCTCTTTAACACTCTGTACACCTCATTTAACCAGAAGTGACATGTCTCTAGCCAGGTATATTTCTATACTGCTACATGAATAAAACTAATAAAAACAACTATTAATTAATTTCTCTCTAGCTTCATACAGTGCTCTTTGGTGTGTTGTGTATGTAGTACACAAATAGTACACAATATTTATCTGCTTACTGGACCTACCATTCTATGTGCGTCTGTCTCTCCTTCCTGTCCTCTCAAACCAGCCGGTCAAAGCAGATGGCCGCTTGTCCTGAGCCTGGTTCTGCTGGAGGTTTCTTCCTTTTAAAAGGGAGTTTTTCCTTTCCACTGTTGCCACTGTGCTTGCTCAGGATGGGAGACTGCAGCGAAGCCAAGATTCAAATTGTCTGCTGGATTCCTTAGATAGAGAACTTTACTAATTGGCTTTTATGTATGTGAATGTTCCTGTAAAGTGCCCTGAGACAACTTTGCTGTGATTTGGCGCTATATAAATAAACTGAATTGAATAGATTCAAATGATCAAAGATTCAGCTCTGCCACAAATACCTTAATTTCTTTAAAATGCAGGTATAGGTCCAGGTTTATCTGAAAGACAAAAAAAAAAACACATGTTATGGATAGAAAAAATAATTACAAATACAAAACAGGTTGAGCAGAGTAAGTAAAGACAGTAGCAGAGTGAAAAGTGTGGTCAGTTTGTCCTCCAGCAGTCTAAGCCTATAGCAGCATAACTAAGGGAGAGCTCAGGAAAACCCAAGCCGACCCTAATTATAGGATTTAGCAAAAAGGAAAGTCTTAAGCTAAGTTTTAAAACTGGACAATGTGTCAGCCTCACGGACAGAGATTGGAAGTTGGTTCCACAAGAGAGGAGCCTGATAACTAAAAGATCTGCCTCCCATTCTGTTTTTGTAAATTCTAGGAACCACAAGTAAACCTGCAGTCTGAGAGCGAAGTGCTCTGTTAGGAAAATATGGAACAATAAGATCTGTAATATAAGATGGAGCTAGGTTGTTGAGAGCTTTGTAGGTTAGAAGTAAGATTTTGAATTCTATTCTGGATTTGACAGGGAGCCAATAGAGAGAAACTAAAACTGGAGAAATATGATCTCTCCTACTAACTCCAGTTAAGACTCTGGCAGCAGCATTTTGGATCAACTGAAGACGTTTTAAGGAAGTATTTGGACACCCAGATAATAAACCATTGCAATAGTCCAGTCTGTAGACGTGACAAATGCATGGACCAGTTTTTCTGCATCATTTTTAGATTAGATGTTTCTAATTTTAGTGAGGTGGAAGAAGGCAGTTCTAGTAACGTTTTTAATGTGGGGAATAAAATACATGTCCTGATCAAAAATAACATCAAGATTTTTAACATTAGAGCAGGATGACAGATTAATGCCATCTAAGGAGGGAGAAAGACTGAAAAATTAATTCCTAAGGTGCTCAGGTCCAAAAACCAAAACCTCAGTCTTGTTTGTGTTCAACAGGAGAAAATTAAGGGTCATCCAGGTTTTTATGTCTTTAAGACATGTTTGTAGTCTAAGTAGCTGATTGGATTCATTGTGTTTAACGGACAAATATAATTGTGTGTCATCAGCATAACAATGAAAATTTATCCTATGCTGTTTAATGATTTTACCTAATGGAAGCATATATAAAGTAAAACGTATTGGCCCAAGCACTGAGCCCTGAGGAACTCCATGACTAACTTTGGTGTATGAAGAAAATTGATTATTTACATTTACAAACTGGAATCTATCAG